TAAATGCTGGACATTCTTATTTCTTTTCTTATTACTGTCCACAAAGAATGTTTCCCTTTGACCACAGTTTGACAAGTTTCTAAACCTGAATTTCAGAATTCATTAAAATCACTACGAGTATTTACTGCAAAATATAAGCAGAACATCACACTATTGCATAACATGAAAAAGAACTGTAGGCTCTATTGTCCCATACTTTATGAGATGGAGGAAACATGCTTCAGGATATTATTACATCTCCTACAGTATTTTCTTCTTCAAAGTTTTTTATTTTCCCAGAAATTTGTTCTCTAGAACAACTAGAGATCCCCAGATATGTCAGCAGATGTTGCGAGGAACGGCAGGAACACTACCTATAATAACCTTTAAACTTCATTGGGATGGTATTTTGTCACATAAAAGAAAATCAAATCTTCAGGCAACCTGCTCTAAGATGCCTTTTATGTGTGGGAAAGGGTAACTGAACTAGCTGAATTTTTACTTCCATCACAGTAGAGCAGCTTCAGTATATATTTTCATGCTTGTATTAACACGCGTATTTTCCGTTTTGCCATTGTACTTCTCAAAACGTAACAGCAGCATTCAACTCTGTTCAAGATAAGTGGTGGTAATTTTAATGTAAAGTCACAGGAAAGTCATATGAAAATCAACAAAGTAATGCAAATCAAGAAGTGTTTTCGTAAGAGTTTGTGTCAGAAATTCTAAAGAACTGTGGTCTGGTAACAAGCAATCTGTTACTGTTCCTGTCTCACAGACTTGCTTTAGTGAGAGTAAAGGGAAGTGCTTCTTCATCTCAAAATAATTAACTTAATGAAAATTCTAAAACCCCCCAAATTACCCCCCCCAGTCTTCTTGTTAGGGAGCACCCAATATACCACCTTGACTTTGGTACACGTGAGTTCTTTCCAAACGATGAACACTCCATATGGCTCTTCTGCGAAGGCCACAAAGTTGTACGTGCTGCATTCCACCCCTTCAAACAGACGAGCTCTCTTCTGTAGTGAATTAAACACCAGTAACTAATTGTAGGTGTTACATAAAACAAAATCTTGGCAGGCATGTGCCATTCATTGTATTCAGTTATTTTATTTTCACTATCCAAACTCAAAAGAAACGCGCAGTTAAGTTTCAGGTATCAATACAGAGTTTTCTAAAAAACATCCCTTTCGCGTTCTCTTCAACAAACCATGTGTTCAAACATTTGCAGTCCAACCATACGTAGCAGGCGTTGCCTTCCCCCCCCCCCCACCAAAGGGACGCTTTCTACTTTAATATAAAGTATTGTAAACCTCTTATTCAAAAAGCAAAATTCAGAAAAAACTTCATAGGCAAACACCTTTTCACAATTGCTGTCTGGCATGGCACAACCTCAAGCAGTTTCTTTTGGTATAGCAATTCTTGTATTTTTTTCAGTCAGGTTAGGTCTCTGCGAGTATGTTAGATTTAAGGCAGACAATATACAGTTTAGAAATATATTAGCACATATTTGTCATGGTATGGCATTTTCAGCAGACATCAGTTTTTCATAAATTACTGTGCATTTCACATTTCAGAAAGCTTTTTCAGTGTTGAACATCAGCCTCTTTCCATCAGTTGTCTTGTTCTTCTATGCTTCTACTTTTGCTCCCAGAACTCTATCGTCCAGGTGTTTGTGATCACACATTCCTGAAAAGCTCGCTTTCTTCACGTAAGAGTTAAATTTCTTCATACTTGATACAGTAACATCTTTTCCCACACACTTCAAGGCAGTTGGTCAACATCTCAACTAATTGCAACAATTAAAAACTTAGTTTCTGGAAAAAAAATTAAATAATTTTTACGTATGTTTTTACAGTTTTATTCACCTGCATGTTTAGTGACAATTATCTCAACTCTGGAAGCTTTTAAGCAATACTAGGACTTGACAGGAAGATGTTTTTTTTTTCCTGAAAACTCATTCCTCCTCTGACTTATTACATGACTGTTGCAAGGTTGTGTATTTAAAAACTAATTTTGAAACTTAACATACTTATACTGATAGACAACAAAACAATATTACACTAGACAATACTTGGTTGCAGAGATTGTATAAGATATATTGTGCACTTACGGAAAAATTCTTTCACTTCAAAGTGCAAAGCAGCAGTTAATATTTTAATTCTACATCGTAGCAGCAGTCACGTATGCATAAACCAGCACTTTTTTTTAACAAAAAAAAAAATCACAGCATTTTGGGTAGCATAATGATTACACTAAAGTACGACAAATGCAACGCCAACTGAAGAAAGTTTCTAAAACAAAGTGTTAATACAAAGGCTATATAAAAATATGGCATTATACAATGCTACTGTAGATCTGAGAGCTTTAGAAATGCAGTGTTTTCTGTTTGTTTTTAAAAAGGTTACTACAATGGCAGTAGCAAATTCACCAAAATCACTGCATTCACATCCCCAATAGCTTTGTGAGAAAACCATTTGGTCTGCTTCAGGACCTAAACATTGATGCTGCAGACGATCACACCTCCCCCGAGAGTCCTAAGCACTACTTGGTCCTGTTCACCCAGCCAAGAAAACTCATTCCCAATGATCAAGCCCTTTGCACAGACAGACTTGTTACAAATGACTGCATGTTCCTGACCAACAGCACAAAATTATACTGCAGTGTAAAGATATGGCTTTCTCTAAAAATTATGAAGTATTAAAGTAAAAAAAAAAATTCCACAAGACACTTAAAAATTTATCCTTGAGTTCAACACTATATTTATGCAATCGATTAGACCATGTAATCAGTCATACTGTAGTAGAACAAGCAAAAGACTTTTTAATCACTTGAAAAAATAGCAGACTGGAAGATTTCTTCATTGCACTACACAAACTTCCCTGAGATTTTTACACAAATTATGGTTAGTCTACTATATATTGGAAACCAGTTAGCTACTGAGTGTCATACACTGCAAATTTTACATAATTCCTGCATATGTTAACCAGCTGCAATGCTGTTTCAATGCTTTAAAGCTTTATCTTATTTTGTTACAAAAACCACGTACACACAACTGAGACTACAAATGAAAAGACATTTTTTTTTCACAAAATTTTAAATCTTCAAAGCAATGTATTTCTATTTCTATGGAGAAAACAAATGTTAAGTTGAACAAAGCACTTTAAAGTTCTTTGCAGCTTAAAAACTGATTGCAAAATTAGTTTTAAAAATGACCTATGCAAGTGTTTGGTGGCAAGAAATCCAACAGAAATATTATTAAACACAATGGGCAGAAAGAGGGCTGATTCTGCCTTCCCTATTTAGCAATCTCCCGTACTATAACATCATAATTTTGTACGAGTGATTGTGGGAGAGAAACATCACAGTGGTACAAAACATTGCTATACTGGCACTATGTTACAAAGTAAGGATTTTTTTATTTTTTGAAGTTGAGGTACTTAAACTTCTGATAAGATGGATGTAGTTAACTACAAATCTTAAAGAGGCCCCACAGTGAAAGTAACTCCTCTGTTTCACTGACTCACTGCCACAAATTTTAAAAAAAGAAAAGAACACTTCATTTTAAATACAAATCTGGATGTCAGGTCAGTTTGCCAAGTTGTATATCCCCTTAACTGAACTTCTCTCAGCAAAAGTTGAAGAAGAACAGGCATTGTACTTCGCAAACAATAATGCTTAAGTAAAAACAAACAAAAAAATATTATTCGAACTAAAAATAAACAAAACCTACAACTTTACTGCTTTGAGATATGAGATTATCCCCAAGTTTTATGCCTGGAGGCAAAACCGAAGAGTTGTCTTGTCCATAAACTTCTGTTAGACTTATTTCAAAAGCTGGATTATACAGCATAAGTAGTCTGTTCAGGTAGCTCAGATCTCCTTTCAGTTCTCAGTAACTGGGATCATGTCCTTGTCCCCCGCTGAGTGTGGAGCAATTGCACTTGTAATTCCTCCTTCCAAACAGCCTTACATTGGGTATGACCACAGAAAGAAATAGGAGGTAACTTGGGCCACTCCATTACAAAACAGAATCGATGTGGTTGTGACTGGCCGTATCAGATACGGGGCCATGAGCGTTCTTTTTTGTGTATAGGAAGGAAGGTACAAGGTGATCATCTTAACAGCAAAGTGAGGAACTGTGAAATAGAGGGCATTTTCTAGATTTTTAATTCTGCTTTAAGAAGTTCTCAGTTTATAGATACACTTATGACTGCATGAAAATTACAAAGATGGAAAGAATAAAAGAGCAGCATTTAAAAGCAGTATGTTTAGCTTTCTCATACTCAGAAACAAACTGAAGACACTGCTTTGTATAAAATAGCTTCATTTCTACTTATTATCACTGTAAGTTCAATTATATAAAGGGAATTTAGCACTCAACAGAGGAAACGATGAGTAAGAAAAACTGGTCATTTCCCTTTTCATTTTAAATTAAAATTTTCACATGGATGAGTAAGTTTTCTGGTTCTTCAAATTAAGACCAATTTGCTCCCTTTCCCTCAAAGTACTTACAGTACACCACTCAGCCTACTGTATCTCTTTGCATATATTGCTGGCTGATAACTGATTCAGACAGGCACGTTAAGAGTTTCCGGGTTACATAACCACTTCTATTTTGTTATACAGAGAAGCCATTTCAGCATCAACAATGAAAAAATTATAAAACTGTATTAACAAACACAAGCCCTTGTGCAACACACAAACAGGGTGCCAAGTCACTATACAGTCGGCGTGAAGACTTCTAGAAGTCTTTTCTGTGCATCTCCCTTTCAATAAGAAAATATGCCGTGTTTTCATCTCTTAATCTCACCACGTTTTAAGTCACCTCTTTTTTGCATTGCCAAGTAAGGCAAATAATGGTGTTGTAGACTGACCATATATTAGATTATTTTATTTAGAAAAATAATTTCTCTCCCTATTGAGAATTTCAGCATATTCTCATAGTAACAAATATATCCTGATAAAGAAAACCAGCAGGATTCCTCAGTATGCAGATTGAGATAGGATATTTGCCACACAGATTTTACTTCCAGCAAGATGCACATGGGTACATACGTCAATTATACACAGCAGACCAAGTACATGTTGTTCTGCATCCCAACACATCCTCTGAAGGAGGGACAGTTTTCTCATCCGCCCATGGTGTCCCTTATGTGATCTACTCGCTGAGCAAGATCCCTAAAGGTGGGGCGCTGGGTAACATTATTGTTCCAGCATTCTTTCATGATAGCATAAATCTGGAGAAGAAACAAAGACAATTGGCAATAGGTAAACAGATGCTACAAATCGTTAATAGTCACTTTGAACTGGTCCAAAGAACATCCAGCTTAACTTTATGTTTCCAAGTAACAGTGGCACAAAGACGTGCCTAACGTCCTGCCATACCAATCAGTTTATCTGCTTGATCCCAGTGACAGCAGAAGTGAGGATAGCTAGCTCTGCAAAAGCCCTTATTGTAAAAAGAGATTTTTTTAAAAGTTAGTATGGAAATTCACTCAGCTAGTTTTTGAAACTGTTAAGAAACTTTCATTATTAATCTATGTTTTTATCTTCTTGCTTGCTCTTATTTTTTTGGAAGGCTCAAAAATGTTTAAAATGACAAATGCTCTGCAAGTCAAACAAAATATCAGATTTACAAAGACAGCAATTCTAAATTAAGCGTCCCTTACAACACTAAGATAAACTTCTCCACATTCCTATACTGAATTCTTAATTATTCTTCATATATAATCAGAAATAAGTCAGAAAAGTTACTGTGCAAACTGAATCCACTTCTAGTAAAAGTAAATTTAAGTGATTTTTCGAAGAGATTTTCGTTACAATAGGCATTTGATAACAGTTTTCTCTTTTCCCAAACATGCACTCAATACTTGCTCAGAAAATAACTTGCCAAGCTCTTCACCTGTACTCTTCTCACTAATTTAACCCAGATCATTATTACCAACTTCTCATACTTCCAACAATTTTTAACACGTTGCTTAACAACAATCTGCACAGGTCCCAGAAAAAAAAGTAGCATCAGTTCCTTATTTTTCAGCAATTGTGAAACTCCTGCATTGACTAAGTTGCTTTAGACCCAAGTTTCAAGATGCTTGTAAGCTACAGACATCTGGAAGATTTAATATCTGTGATCACTGGCCTTTTGGGATCAAACTGGGAAGAGCACAGTTTCAGACAAAAGAGAGACATTTCCACCTTGCTGTGGTATCTGAAGAAATGTCAGACATCGAAACCTTTGCATTAGTTTGGATACAGTTTCAGTAAGGCAGATTATGTATTATCTTACACATATGACATTCAGGTTATCTACAAAAAGCCAAACCTTTGCAATTCAATAGTTGCTGTACCCACAAAGCAAGAAAGGTTACTTCAGAGACTTCTCTCTTGATTCTCTAGACTATTTCTTCTCTTGTGCCTTCCCTGCCCCACCTGTAGCATTCTTTCTCTTCTCTGCTGGACCACTTGACCCTGACCTCTCCTCTGTCTCCAGTTTTGAACGGATTACTTCTCGACTTGCTGCCAAGCGTATCTGACATTAAAGGGATGCAGCAATTGATCCGAGCTGGAAGTTCCACACGCTACAAAGCTCAACTGTCCTACTTACATTCTTCCCCTCATGACTCACCCAGCCAGCCCTATCCGTTTGACTCAAGCTGAGGCGCAACCTGCTCTGAAGAATACAGAACTACAAGTCTTACAAGTAGTATGAAAGTATTTTTAAAACATCTGGAGTATCAGGAAAACCAGAAGAACATTGAGTTAATGTGTGTGCTCTGAGGATGGCTTTACGTACATACACACCTCAGTACCTACGATGAGGAACATGAATACAAATCTGAAGGCCCTGAACGTGCAAAACCTGACTCATATACTTCACTGTGCCTACAGTCTGCAGGTAGCTCTTGGCTGAGAATGCTTTACAGTGAATAACACACATGATAAACATGGGTATTCCTATGCTTGAGGAGGGAAGAGCAAGAGAAGGAAAATAATCAAGATAAGGAGTTCTTTAAATCTTGGAATGAAATGTGAAAAGCCTTATGTAAATATTAAGACACTTCTGCTAAATGTTACAGACTTCAAAAGAATTCACAGTTCACAGCTTTGAACAAGAATCTCTCTATGGGACTTCCATGGAACAAGTTCTATATTCTAATCTCATTGCCTTAATAAATTTACATTTTTGAAACAGAAGCCTGAGTGTCCGGTACAGCAGTCAGTCAAAATAGTCCTACTTCATATATGCAGAAAGACTACACTCTAGGCTCCTGAGAGAATGCACTCTAAAGAATCAGAAAAGAAATGTGATCATAACTCATCATGCAACTGACCAAATAACAGCACAGCCATTCCACCTGTATACATACTTCAGTAATCCAAGCAGAACAAAAACGCAAGGCTTGCATTTCCCAAGTACTCACTTCAGACTACAGTAACATGTTCATAATACTTCACCTCATCAGGGCATCCATCCGGTCTCGGTAGTCGTCCATTATTCTTCAAAAGCTCTATCAAATGAAATACAATCATCTGCCCTTGTTTATCGTTGCCAATCATGCGCATGAATTCCTGAAACAGAAGGCCGACTGTCATAAGTTTTAAAGGAAAAAAAGATGCTACAATACTCTTAGCAAGGGAAAATTCTTTGTAAGAAAAATAAACAACAGTAAGAATAAATAGAATACAATTTTACAACGGTAAAATTATAAATTACAAGTCCAGAGAATATATCAATAATTACAGATTTTGTTTGGTGTGTGGATAAAAATAGGATGATACATGCATAATTTAAAGCAATAAGTAAACAATTCTTTAAAAATGTTGATCATTATCTGAGGATTAACTAGTTTTAAAAGGATAAACCTCACAGCTAATTCTAAATAGCTCCCTGAAACATTAAAACGAGATTTTGATGCTTTGAAAAATCCCAGTCAAACAGAAAACAGATAATACCATACTGATGTATAAAAAAAGATTAAAAGGATTAATCAGTAATTACAGGTCAGAAACAGTAGCATACTTAAAGCAAGCAAAAAATGGCTTAGATAAATCTTGCTATCCAAAAATCAGCATAACTCTAAAAGTAAATTAAAATCTCATTCAGATTGCCAGAGTTCAAAAGTAAATAAGGCAGTATTATCAAATGAAAATAATTTCTAAGAGCAACGTAAAGGAATCATTTTTCTTCCAATGCTACATAAATGTCTTTAATGATCCTTGACATGAAAACGTGAAACCACTGTTGGTAGAATGTGTAAAGGTCCAAAGTTGAGGAAACAATGCATAATTATAAAAACTATGACAGTTAAACAGACCGCTTTGGCTAATCGGTAAACAATTTTTCTTGATACAGACCAATGGGATAACCAGCCTGATGAAGTGGTGAATGCACATGTAGAGTTGATTCATTCACAGGATATTCCACCTGAGCCCATGACTTACTCTACCACTTTCCATTTCATAATCCTGAAGAAGAACTCCAGGTGTCTGCAATGTTTATGTTATTATGCGGGAAGAGCTGCTCCTGCCTTGAGAGTTCTTCCTTGATAGCTTAGTCATTGCACTGAATTACTAAGAGGTCTGCTGAGGCCAATGCAGAGATCTTCCAAGTGCATTTTTGCCTATCATCATTGTTCAGCTCTCGAAACCGCATTTGCCAGGACTGAGACACTGGCCAAGGGTGAGGACAGCTCCAGCAAATATAAGTGGCTCAACTCTACTCCGTTACGCTTGCAGAGGAGTGCCACGTACAAGTAAGATTGTGAATCTCATTTCCAACTGGAGAACTGTTACTCAGTATACATTTCTCAGTAGGATTTTTCTCCGTCCACTGTAAATCTGTCTTTAAAGGTGTTTTTCAATAGTCTGCAAAAAGCCACACCCTTTCTTTCTTGAATGTCAATAACTCACTAACTTGGGTTCTGGAAATATAACAAAATAAAGTTACCTTATTTAAATCAACTTAACGTTTACATATTTGTTTGGTTCAGCCTCGGACTGGAACAGCATTACAAACATATGTCATGTTGCCGAGAAACAGCTGCATCTGGGATCACTCTCCACGAAGGACAAGAAAGAACAATCTATAATGTGAGATTTTAACACCTTTTCCAACAGTTAGGAGTTAGAGGATGGATAAGATCTGCACAGACTCTCAGGTAATTTTCAGATCTCCTTTCCTTCTTATGACTTGATACTAATACTTTTTATCATGTTGCTGCTTCTGATTGGATGCTGCCTCATAAATACTAAGGTATCTCCAGAAAAGGGTCAGTAAATATCAACCTATTTAGGTAAAGGAACAATCTGTATCTTTTCAAAAATTTAAATAAACAAATTAAAGTAAACTCTGAGAACCATTAACTATGTACTTACAGCTGGTGGGCTTTTGCTCTTGTCAATATACGTGAAGAGTTCATACAAGACCACACCAAAACTCCACACATCTGAGGCCACAGAAAATTTGCTTTCCGTCAGAGATTCTGGAGCATACCTGCAACGCATGGCAAAAGGAATATTGTTCTGTTTAACATGTGACTTTTTGGTTTTGAAGATATTCCTTTTAATAAGTCTGATATCTTTTAATGAATAAGTGTTCTTTGTTGATAGGCATTAACACGTTCTCGTTTCCTCCCACCACCTGCACTAGAAGCTATTCTTTTTGTAATAGTTAATTGGTATTGAAAACAGAAACCACCTTAAACAAATACAGTCAGTGATAACTATATCCAAGTTTGTTTTTTTCCCAACAAATTTGTACATATTTTTCTTATCCATAGTGAGAGTGCACAAGATTTTGATGTGATAAGGCCTGGAAAGAAAGATAATTACAGCCAGTAAGCATCCTTCCATCACTTTCAGTGAGCCTTGAACTGTGTCCCAGGTATTCCTCGATTTAAATTTTACAAATCCCAGTAACATCTACTAAGATGCCAGTTTGTATTATTTATCCTTTAGATACAACATTTTTACAGGACCTACAGCAGACTAAAATATAGACTAAAATCACATGTACAGAATGGCATTTTCTTTTGCTATCAGGTCATAAAAGGGGTTTTTATCACAGTCATCTGTCAGTGTATTTCCTAAAGTATTTCTATGTCTTTATAGAACAGAACCAAAGCACGTATTTTGCATTCTGAATACCGTCTACCAATTTCCATTTTATAATCCTTCAGCCTCCCATAGGCTATACAGAGTGTTCTTTCTTTTTCCAAGCTAAGTGCAGCTTGTTGGAGCATTACTGTATTTTGGAGTAACTTAGACCTTTTCTGGAAGCTCAGTGCCCAAATACAGACATCTACTCAATAGTCATAGAATCACAGAACGGTTTGGGCTGGAAGGGACCTCAAAGCTCATCCAGTTCCAACCCCCCTGCCATGGGCAGGGACACCCTCCACTACACCAGGTTGCCCAAAGCCTCATCCAACCTGGCCTTGAACACTGCCAGGGATGGGGCAGCCACAGCTTCTCTGGGCAACCTGTGCCAGTGCCTCACCACCCTCAGAGGGAAGAATTTCTTCCTTAGATCTAATTGAAATCTCTCCTCTTTCAGTCCTTGCTAGTATACAGAGTCTGTGGGATTTAACTCCACTTGGTCAGAGGGTCTATCGAATAGATCTCAGCCAGAAGATACAAGTGACTAGTGTTTAGGGAACTAGAAGGCCCAAAACTTTGAAAGCATGCTGGGGAATGGGCCCTTTTAGATTTCTTTTATGTAAGAATATCTTTCCTGTTGCACACTATTTCTTTTAAATATTTTGGTAATTTTTAGGAGATTAAAAATGTTGTAAAGTCCTACATGCTGTTCTGTAAAGTCAAACATCATGCATGTGACTTTCACAATGTTGGGCAACTGACTTCAAGTTTACACAATTGGCTGAAACAGCAAAAACTGAAAACATGCCACGATTTCATACACCCAAAGACGACTTACCAAAATATAGGGCTTTCACCAGGTTCTTTTACTTTGTAGTATTCTTTGTCTTGTGGCAAGACTTTTGTCAATCCAAAATCTCCAATTTTAACTCTGTTCTCATTCTCCACTAAGATATTTCTTGTTGCTAGATCACGGTGAACATATCTTTTCGTACCCAGATACTCCATGCCCTAGGTGTAAAGTTCACAAACACAATAGCAAAAGAGTTACTTTTACCATTAAGTAGCTGCACTTTCCCTAAAGGGATGAATTAACCTCAAAGTTAAAACCAAACACTGATTGTTACCAAAATCGGTGTGCTTGAACATTTGTCTTCTCTGAGGAGTTACTTCTTCCAAGTGCAGGGACTTCACTTAACCGGATGGAGGTAAACTGAGCCCCTGCCAGAGCCTAGTGTTTTTTGATTACGTAGCTGGAGAGGTGTTACAGCTCCTTTCTGTGGCCAAATGCAGTTTGTCGGTGACAGACAGAAGAAAAGCAAAATCTGGGCTAAGCTACACAATCCAGGGCAGATAGGAAGACCGTCTTATTTACCCATTTCATTTAATCATTTTTCTTCATTTTGTACATCTGCTTTCCTGATTGCTTTGTGAAACTTTACATTACAATTCCTTCAATTTGACAGCTGTTCTCTGACCGTATTCCCACCTGTGTGTCTTGTTTCTCTTCTGTATGGACCACTATTCACCAACAGTTCTCTTTGTTGTTACATTTCTGTGGGTTGCTGTAAAAAAAGGATTGGTCCGAAGCCACGTTGTCTTTTGCTGCTAATGATCCCTTCTTACCAGTGCATGTAATTCTTTTTTGCTAACAATGAAAAGTGGAAGAAACCAGCATGTGTAGTGGCATTACTGAAAAAAGAGGGGTTTGCTTACCCAGCCATAAACAGTGCACAGAAGTTGACAGTGCACAATGTCAAGAGATACCTGACTCTCATGTGAAAGGAAACACAAAGCAATTGTCAGTTTCAGAGTTTCATAAGAAAGGATCTCACTCCTTCAACACAAATGAAAAGCAATCAATTACGCTACGGGCATCATTGAACTCAAAAGTTTTGAACAACATTATACTATTAATGTAAAAAGATTTTTCTCTCTTTTTTTACTTTTTAAGTGAGAAACCTCATAAATAGTTCCACTCCAAAGTCCAACCTTCTGCTCAGACCTCTTTACCCGCCACCACGGCTGTTCACTCGCACCCCATCCCAAACCCTTCGGAAACACCTGTTCTGGTTACCCGCTTATCCACCGCTGTCCTGGAGAACGCCAAGCCTAGCGTTTCCAAAGTGAGACTTCTGTGCTTCTGATACAATCAGTCTATGTAAATGCTCTAAGTTTTTATTATTGCAACACACTGTACTGAAAATGCTCCTGAAATTTCTCTGATGATAGTAATTTTTCTGTTCACCTGGAAATACCTATTGTAAGAGAGATATTTAATCGAAATCATGCAAATTCTAAGTGGAAACCATAATCCTGTGGCACTGCTCTAGCAAAGGAGTAGAGTTTAGTGACGTGATTTGAAATGTTTCTACCATTGAAGTCAGTCTCTCTGGCAAGGACACCTGAAACATTTTAAGCATTAAGAGATGGAAAGATAAATTTATTCTTAGCCTTTTCTCCTATCAGCCAGCATTAACAAAATCCAAGACCAAAAGAGCAAAAAAGAACACCCCAAAAATCAGATACATGGAGAAGTTAACTTCCTTATTTGACATTCTATTGTCAGGATTCTTTAAAGTTGAATACAGAGTCCTGTTGCTTGCCACTGGACAAGCTGTAATAATGGCACAAGCTGAACCAGATTACAGCTGCACTAATTTGCATCTACAGAAACATCACCACTAGCAAATGCCATCTCTGAAAATGCTGCTTTTCACAGTACGAATACGCACAAAAAAATATTACCTTTAAGTCAGGAACCCTTTCCCACTATAGTAGCAAGGAACCAAAACACAGCAAACACACGCACTCATCTTAACCCTTAGGTATGAGTATGCCTTCACTTCTCCCATATATTTGAGAAGAGCAGCAAGGCAGAGGGAGAAAGATTTTTGATAAAAAAAACACAAACAAAAAACAAGAGTGGCAGAAATGCACTGCAGAAATACGAGATGCGAGATGCTGAAAGAGTAAACACTGCAAGAGAAGCAGAAACAGCTAAAAAGTGGAAGTGCAATCAATTAAAAGAAGAAGGAAAAGCATCAGATTCCATTTTTGTAATATTATGTACTCATTACGTTTTTAATCAAGTTGCTTTGAAGTTACAGTATGCTACATCTTAGAGTGACCTCTTAAAGTGATCAACATAACCTCTGCTTTGCAGGTCGTACAGCAAAAAAAGTGCAAAGCAAGACACACAGACTGTAATTCTTAGACTTTGCTTCCCTTAGAAGCGAAGAAAAGATACTTCTTTAAGAGCAAGTCCTACATGCAGACTTTTCACATTCTCATATGGTGTGTGTCCATGCTTTGTCAGATAAAAGCAGGATGTTTTCCCATTGAAGTATCTGCAGAAGGCATATTATAGCTCCTCTTGGCTGCTGCTTGGTACTTAGGAAGCAGTCATTTCATCTGTCGTTTTGATTTCTCATCACCATCCTGAAGACCTATAGTATCTCCATGCTTGTTTTATATATGTGTATGTACACACACGCATTAAGACCTTTTTTCTTTCTACCTTCTGAATACAGCTCCTTTCCCAAAATTTCCTGCCACACTTGCACTCCCTGCAAAGGCCAAAATCCACCTGGTATCAGTACCTCTGTCTCAGAGACCAGGGTCCTGAGATATGCTGCCACTGTTGTTCCTTCAGGCTTTGGATAAGGCCTGAAGACTTACATATGCAAGCTTCATAGCTGCTTATGACAGTCAACAGGGCAGGCATCTTACGACTCCTCAGGTCATCGCCTTAGATGGTCACAAAATAAAAAAGGTAAGTGCCTGCAGCTTTTGCATGTTCAGAAATACCTGTTGCATCTTTATTCTATGAAAGATCCACTTTCACCGTCCTCCTAGGTGGTACTGTTAGACCCTTCCAGCTCTTTGCTTCAAGGAAAATTGTTTTCAGTGACTTACCAGCACTGAGAATAACAGTAACTTGCTGTAGAAATAAAACACGAGAATTTTGTATGCCTGTTACTGGAGAATGACTTCTGTTTTGAAGACACAGATCAGAAGGCTTTTTAATGCTCTTTGAGTGAGTGGTCACATATTCAATCCTTCCTCTCTGTGAAAAGACTGACATTTGCCACAGACTTGTGAACATTTTCTGTTTTCCAACCTCACTGGACATTGCTTGCCCATCAAGGAGTTTTTGCTGGACACTACCAGCCTAGCCTTGCTTCAGTGAAGCCCATGAAGAGGTGAGACCAGCTGCTAAAGGTGCACGTAGCGTCCTTCTGTACATGCCCCATGTTCAGCAGCCATCAAAGGTTTACGGAGTCAGCCCAGTTTCAAGCAGGGAACTATCAAGCTCTGTTCACCAGGTGAAAGTTTGAATGCCTTGAGAAGATCTTGGCTCTGGCAGAGACTCTCTTGCCTGATTCTTGTCAGGCCTCTTCTGCAGATACTGCAGAAGGAAAGTCTTCTGCTTTGAATAAGGCAGAGCACAACTACCAGACATAAGAATATCCGTGGGCTACATATCCTGAAAAAGACCCGTTAATTTTAATTTACGTACTGTTCCCATGTCTTTGATGTGGACATATGGGAAAGGAATTTAAAAATATTTCTGGTACATGCCTTGAGTGGGTGTGGGGTGTGTGTGTCTTTTTTTCTTTTCTCTCTTCCCCCTGCCCCCTCCACCCCCCTTTTTTTTTTTTCCTTTTGCCAAGCTACCAAACATGCAATGAAATCTGAAGTGTGTGCAGTTTCTTGTACCTGAAGTATAATAACAGAACAAAACTAGGCAAGGCATAAGCCCTCTTTCTGAGGAAATGAGATATCACAATAAAAATCAGATGTTTGTCCTCCTTTTCAGAATTTTATGAAGGATGTTCATTACCAACCATTGAGACTAGCAAATAATTCACTACAGCTTTGGGCACTTCTATTGCCTCTAATTCTTCATGCAGAAATCATGTATATCTCTGCTCTTTCTGCTAAATAAGCTAATATTATCAAGAGTTTGAAGTACATTTCGTAAACGTATACATGTTGTTATAGTGGGTTTATAACTCAATGTCCAAGTTATGAAAAATCAGTTATAGTATGTCACAAACAGTTTGTCTGGGTGAGTATATTAGCTCCTGCAAAATTTTATTTCAGCCCTCATTAGGGAGAAAAGAGGTTATAATTCTTCTGAATGAAATATAGGCTAAGCAAACTACAAAATAAAAATAAATGGAGTATACTCTGCCTCAGTCAGCAGACAGGCCAGTCTCAGCATCCTATATTAAGATACTCAGAAGTTTGTCCAGTTCTAGAGAACATGAATATGTATTGCTACTTTTTTTAGGGTTATGTGGTGCTAGCAGCCTAACAGTATTATAGAATATACAATTTTTTTATGATGAATAGAGAGACAAATGAGACAAGACCAAAGAGACAAAAACTTGTTGAAAAATATTAATCATCTGAAATTTCCTACCTTGCATATCTGAGACGCATACAGCAAAAGCTTCTTGTGGTCCAGCCTCTCCTTGTGTTTCTGCAGATAATCTCGTAAACTTCCATACGGCAAATATTCCATAATTAATCTTAGATTCCTACGACCTTTTACAACAACAACAAAAAATACACTTAATTTTCTGTCATTCTCCAGTAACAAGTTTTGAAATATAAATATTTACAAATGTCTATGAATGAAATAGAAAATAGTCTTAATATCAAAAAACTAATTTATTATATGTACATCACTATGCAATTTTTCATATATTAGTTTGTTTGGCATTTGTTCAGGAAATGCCATTGATTTAAAAATAACAATAATGTGGATATGCTTGATAAACTGAACATCATTAATCAAGATCATCTCATCAATACTTCAGCTGCTATTGCTAAAGCAAAGCAGAAGTGCCATGTGTGTATCTGTGTGTATGCAGCTCCTCACTGCCGAGACGAAACTCAGAACGGCAACTGATATCAACTGGTCAGTAATTTTACCATCTTTAAAAACTTACTCTGATTTTTAGCCCAAGATTTTTCTTTTTACAGTAAGATCCTGGGCGGAACCCATGCACTCATTCATCAGCAATTCACTTAAATACATCTGTTTCTGAAACTTTTTACTGTCTAGTCTTTTACTCAGTAGGCTGTACAAGAACTGATAATACCCACTCTGGGACCTTATACTGAGCAAAAACCTACGACAGCCACAAAATGGTTACATCTTCCCACTTAGCCCTCAACTCTTTTCTAGGAAGACTTCTATGCTTTAAGATAAAGAAATTGGGTAACTGGTCAAAATGGTACTTGCTCTAAATCAATCAAATTATGCGATGAGTTGACTGAATAAAATGTCCACCTCGTACTGAGAAGTAGCATACAACAGATGCTGCTTCCTTTAATTTGTACTCTTTAAGTCCTGGTAAAGCTAGGACAAGTCAGTGACTTTCATAAACACTTACCTCTCTGAATTTCTCAGGATGCATACTTAAGTGTATACCTGAAGGTTGATTCAATATAGCACATACCTGCACTGTAGCACACGCCTTTGTACTTAACAATGTTATCATGTTGCAGAGATTTAAGTATTTCAATCTCTCTTTCAAAGTCCCTAAGGTGCTCTTCTGTGCTATGTTGCAGCTTTTTCACAGCCACCACCTCCCCAGTATTATCCTGCAGCGGGTCATACCGGCACATCTCAACACTGCCAAAATTCCCCTAGATCACAAATGGAAATACTTGAATTAAAACCAAGTCCACGTCATTGTCTCTCTCTCAGTGTCAGTTCACACTGCCTCAGTGCTCACTGTATTGGCATTAAGGTGACCACAACTCAGTGAAACGCCACAAAACCTCCCTGAGGGAAACAGAGTGCAGGATCACAGGGAACAGTTCTGTAAGAGTAGGAAATATCTTCTGTGGAAGGAAGAGGAAACGAGGACAAGGAGCAGCGGTGATGTCGATTCATTTTCTCCCTCGTCTTCACAAATTTTCACTTGCACTTCCAAGCTGTCAGCTGGCACACTCCTTTTCCTGCACCTGCAAAACCCCCTTCGTTTAGGTTCCTCTTGGCTCTTAGTTCTCCTGTGTTCTTGGTGGTTTTTCCACCACTTGTTTCAATGTTCTACCTTCTTCCCTTCCTGTTTATACTTTCTTTATCTTTCTTTATGAAGTCATCACCTACCACTCTGTTCCCCTCTGTGACCATTTACAGTCAATAACTAACCATCTGCAAATGCTACTTTGCTTTCAGGCTTCCTTTCACTAGTACTTGGAGTTAAAGGAATATATAGCTATCATGTAAATAAAAAAAAAAACCATAAACCAGCAAGGAATACTCTGGAAAAATGCTACTTGGTGAAGATGTGCCAACTGCACTTGGTCATCTGTCTAGGCATGCTTTTACATAGCCAGGCTGCAAGGACTTGCAACGCCAGTAACCAAATGCTGATTTCTAAAGCTGAAAATGTTCAAGGCCTACATATATCTCAAAGACACTATTGAATTTAGGGACTGCATATTCAGGCCCAAAATACACCTACACAAAACCCCTCAACCTCACTCCAGTTATGCAAAACTGCTCTGGAGCATTTTAAAAATAATACCAAGAATTCAAAAAAAAAAAAAAATTACGTCAGACGTAGCTCTGCATTACTGAAAAAGATTTTAGCCTTTCAGCGTGACTGGCTTCATTGTAGAGGTCAGCTATCTTTATTCTATCTAATGACACTGTCAAACTGAAAAAAGATTTAAAGGAACCACACACTGTAGTCAGATATGACTGAAATAATTAATTTTTGAATTAACTGAAAAAAGTTTCAATGTAAATAATGTATACAAGATCATCAGAAGATAATTGAAAAAGATTGTTCTTTCCTAGGCAACTGGAGAATTTTGAAACATCCTACCTTGCCAAGTTGCTGTAAAAACTTAAGATGTCTTTCTTCAAATTGTGTTGGGTCCCGATCTTCAAAAGCACCAGAAAATCCAAGTGCTCCAATTCTCATATTTGGCAACATATCACTTTCTGTCAATAGCTCGTAATCTGAGGGACAGGAGGAAGAAGGGAAGAGAGAAAGGGGACACGAGGCACAGCGAAGTGAATGGGAGAATAAAGAAACTTCCTACAATCATGGCATGTTCTGTTTTTGCTTGGCATAACCCAAGCTCAGTAGAATATTAACAACTACCTCGATTTCTATATAGTATTTTGCAGTCAAAGACAAACATGTATCACAAAAAAGCCAAATGACTTCTCTCAACTCATAGCAAGTCTTGCTTTAATTTCACAATTTTCTTTTTTTGCAGGCCTATTGTACTTCAAGTTTAGCAACTATTGCGCAACAACTCCACTACTGCAGAGAGAAGAAACGTAAACCTCACAAGGGCTTGTGATAACATGTGCCTTCCACTTGGAAAAAAGAAAGATACCTATTTATTTTACTGAGAGAAACAAGAAAGACAAGTCACAGACATAACATACTTGGTTAAGAGACTAGAATGTTTGGGACAGACATTAATCAAACCAGAAAACTGCTTTGAGTGATAATAGTAACTTTGAATGTGTCCTCTTTTGGGACAAAATAAAAAGCAGTAACATAGCGTGTCCTTACGAACTTAGATTTCCAGGGCTGCTTTGGAGAGTGGTTGTGGGACAACGTAAGAAAAAGAAAGGTGCCATATGAAAAGAAACCAACAGGAATCCGAGTTCTTTTTGTCTAGTGCATTCATCATGTATCACAGACTCACCTGGAGTGAACAAACTATTCAAGTCACGAATAATTGCTCTAAATGAAGGCCTGAAATCTGGCTCATAATCCATACAATTGTTTATAAGGTTTGCTAGTTCTGTCCAGTTGGGGGCAGGAAGCTGGTGCCGGTCTTCATAAAACTGTAGTTTCTGGAATTAAATAGATAAAAGCCATTTTAATATTCTACCATAAAGAGTTGCAGAAGCCTTAACGTTCTCACCAGAGCAGCCAAAAACATACATCTCTTAACCTAGATTTGTTATCTCACTGAACGTATGTCTGACGAATTTCCATCAAAAGCAAAGGCTGACAATGTAGCAAGATTGGCATAATTTAGAGTAACCAGTTCAGAAATTCCCAGTCAGTTACTGGTGAAAGATAAGAACACAGAGAAAGATAATGAGAAAGACGGTGTCTCATTTGTTGGCAATTTCATAAAACCTCAACTGGATGGGTCCAGCAGAAAATTCTATCCACCTGTGAGCTGGCTGAGTGCCTCCAATTGTAAAATTCTTCCTAAGTATTATGAAAGAATGTTGATTAGCGCAGGAGAGGAGAAGGGCAACTTCTGAAATACCTAGATATCTATAAGCTAGGTCTAGATTGACCTTGGAGCTTATTGCAACACCACCTGCGAAATCAGACCAGGCTTTGTGAAAAGGTAACAGTCCATTTATAAAAATACTACAAATCTGTTTGAAGCATAGTAAAGGAAATGAATCTTTTTGCTTCCAACTACGGAAGCGAATGCATAAGAAATAGCATTTTTAGGGAAAGCATTTCCCCCACCACGTTCTGCCGCTAGTTGAGACAAAGTTAACATTTCTGGTTTAGCTAAAATAGTAGAATCGTCTGCAACTCACAAAGTCTTAACGGTATTGAAGATGTTCAATTACTAGAATAATGACAATTAAAATCCACATACATTGTTACAAGCACTTTTTGTTTCAAGTGATACACTGTTGCAACGAAGCAACAGAAACATGAACCAGGTAATACTGGCAACCCTGTACTTTGTCCCCATAAAAAAAAAAAAATAATCGAACAACACACGAACA